CTCAGAAGAAGGTTTCCTCAGATTCAATAAATTTTATCGCATCCAAACGAATTTCATCGGCATGCTCCGAAGAAACTAACATTTCGATTAATAAGTACAATCGTTAGACTAAAAGTAATCGTATTTAAATTATATTTTATTTTATTTAAATCATTTCATTCTTATTTAAATTATTTCTATTTAAATTATTTTATTCTATTTATATTTCAATTAAATTATATTTTATTTTGTTTAAATAAAAAAATTTAGATTTAAGTAAATGTGTTATTAGCACCTGTCGAATAAATATTTTCCATTTTTACATATTTTTCTTCTCAGTGTACACAAAATGTACATCGTTTCTGGAGTGCATAATATATTGTTTGATAAACTCTAACGATATAATTTCACGCGCGATGACTTTCAGTTGACCTGTACGTTTCTATCGGCGTGTGACGATCGAATGGGATCGAGATCGAAATTCGCCTGCGATCGGGAACGCGAGAGTAAAAAGCGGCGAGCCAGCGTAAAGAGACAGACGGATCTTCGTGTGTGGTCTCGCGGTCTCGCCGGTGAAATCTCACCGGTGATCGTCGAGAAAGATAGACGAGGATTCGGGATGCAACGGGCGCGCTACAACGGCCTGATTACGTCAGGCGCGGCGGTTTCATTAAATCTGCATACTCGCTTGCCGGGGTGACGCTCGCGGATCGGCAGCCTCTGGAGAAATTTAGAAACGAATTCAATCGAACGTCGAATCTGACTCGGAAATGTGTGCGAGATTGATGATGATCGAGCCAGGGATATTAGCGAGATCTGCTAAGCATAAAACGCGCCTGCTAAGTGAAAATAGTTACGTGGCTCTTTTTCTCTGTCTTAGTGAATAAGTATATAAGCAATATCGGCTTAAATTATAAATAATAATTTACCCTTTTATTTATTTATGTTTATTTATTTACTTATTTATTTATGTATTTTTACTTCATTGATTTATTTGTATTTATTTAACCTGTCATTGTATCAAGTAAGGTTCTCATTTTTTTTTATCCGTTTGAGACAAGGTTGTGAATAAAATATTGGAATCCGAATTTATTATTAGCGTTATTATAACCATTATCGATTAAACATTTTATTATCATCATTGCTAATTTTTAGATTGATAACACAGATACATAGTAGTCGTCTTTTTTGATGAAGTAAATTATTCTTTATGTTTTTCTATTGCGCTGAGTTCAGATCTGGCCGCAGGATTTCCGCCTATCACGTCAGGACTTTGAAATATTTCAACCTCAAAGTGAAAAAAGGCCATTTTTAAGGTTTCTGAGTTGAAATAACAATGAAACAAAGTAAGATACGTTAATTCCACCAACAGGCTCGTATTCAGCATGAAAAATCTATTGGAATCATATATTTTCTTGGAGAAGAAAAATATTTTTTATACACAGAAACAAGTAACTCGACTTAATGTGATCGCATTTTCGGTGGATACATGAAATATTTCAAGCGTACCGGATCGATTTTCGTAAAATATGCTACCCTAAAGTTTCCACGGTTGCTGATTAGAAATCCAAATCGAAAATTAGGAGTACTCAAATCTTAAAAAAAATAGATGTTACATCTGCCGAAGACGTGACATTGATCAGATTAAGGTAATTTGTTCCTGTAGATAAAAAATATTTTTCCGCTCCAGAAAAAATGCATGGTTTTCAGTAGATTTTTCCATGCTGAATCATGATCTCGTTGGTAGAATTCACGTGTCTCACTTTATTTAATCATTATCTCAACTGAAAAACAACTTAAAAAATGATGTTTTTCATGCTTTCAGGTTTAGAATATCTCGAAATCCTGACGCGATATGAAAATTCTGTGGTCAGATTTGAATTAAGCGCATCAAAAAATATCGGGAAACAACTCTTAATTTTAGAAAAGGGATTCAAGACTTCTCGATACGCAGGCCTGTGTAATTGGGCCCGATTTCTATATTTCTATATATCTTTATTATTTCTTTATTAATGACATTATTCCAGGAAATATATTAATTAATAATAACGATTAATGATTAACGATTAACGATTAATGATATGACATGATTGATATAATAATTTTAATGTGATAATTATAATTAATGTACTCTGCAACAGCACTTTCTTTCGTGCGGGAGAACGATTGAATCATCACAAAAAATTTACATTGTCCGACGGACAGAGAGATTTGACTATCGGATGAATTTCTCAAAGAAACTAACCGCCTAACAAATCCAAGTTATTCCGCCATTCAACGGCCGTAACGACGGAGATCTCTTGCGATAGCGCGAAATTTTACGACTTTTCCGTGGACAACATTTTTACGACGATAAGATATACAAATAATGAAGCGGTTACTTTCACCGTGGCTCCTCGCGGCTTATGTGATTCATTTGAATACCGACGTCGTCGTCGTCCCGGCGATAATTCGAACGATGACAGACTGAAATTTTCGTCGGCACGGCGAATATTTCGTTAACACAGGCCGCCGCCGACTTCACGTGAAAACGTGAGCGTAGGAACCGCCGGCTTTCATCGCCGTGCAATTTCTGGGCCGCGATACGCCGATTAATGCACCGTGAAGCTGCGAATAATTCCCATCGCGGAGCGGCTGTTTCGACCGAAATGCGGGAATACCGCCACGGTAGATTTCGTTCGCTTCGCGAACGCATCGTCTTTAATCGTCTTCCTGTGTTCTACGATTCATAAAAGGAAATCCGAGTCAGAATTTCGGTCCTTTATTAAATTCCTAATTCTACAGCACAGCAGGAGTTAAGATAGCGAAATAAATTCAATTTCAATTTTAATAATATATATACATAATATTAAATAATAATAATATTTAATAATAAATAATATTTAATAATATAACGTGCTCCTACTTCGGTCATGAAATTTCCGTTTTCGTTTAATGTCATGTTTTTAGTTTAATGTCAAAATAGTTTAATGTCAAAAAATCGTTTTGTAGAAGCTTTAAAATTAAATTTGTAGAATTGTGTTCGAGAGAGAAATTAACAAGCGTAGCATCGTCAAAGTACACGAAGAAAACAAGTATTGCCGGAACAGCAAATTGCTTGTTAACGTAGTGACAGCAAAAAAATTTGTTACACGGAAAAAGTAATTTTGCCGTTGTAGCAAAACGTCGTAAAAACTTAAGTGGTATAACCAAATTATTTTGCTGTCTATACATCCAGCAAATAGCAATTAATACTCTTAACAAATCTTTCTGCCGTCCAGACAAATTTTTTGGGCTGTCACTATATTAACAAACAATTTGCTGTTTCAACAACATTTATTCTCTTCGTGCGGGATTTTATGTCTACAGGCCATCTAAACAGGCAAGTTATTTTTGAAAAGACCGAAGTAACCTCAAAATATCGATTCGGGATACGATTTGAAAATCAACATTATCTCTTGCTTTACCTTATTACGAAACGGCACGCCCGAAACGTCGAAGTCGGAACGAAAGGCGCGGAACGAGTTTCAATAATAATTCAAGACGTTTCATGATAAAATTCCATCTCGTGTCCCCCCGTATAACGCTTCTGTTATGTAAATTTTTTACAAGTCGTCGTCGCCGAAGAAAGTTTCGACGCGGGAGAAAGTTAGGATTGGCGCGATGGAGTTCGTTAAAGAAAAATGAAAGTAATTCCCAAAAATTGTCAAGTCACTCGAGGGCGCGCCGAATTTTCTTTGGGAGTGGACGATAATGACCAGGCGTTACGCAAAATAACAGCGACACGTTAATTAGATCGTTTACTCCGTCGCCATTTTAACGTCAAAACAGGGGTTGTTCAAGGTAGCGTTAAAATTAAATTTATAGAATTAAAGGTTCAAGAGAAAAGTCAATAAGTGTCAGTATCGTCAAAGTTGCTTTTTATCTACTAATCTACACGTCATCTAAGTAAGTTTTATCTACTAATCTACACGTCATCTAAGTAAGTGCAAATTATCTTTAAAGGCATCAAAGCAACAATCAATTCTACTGACAGTCTATTACAGCGTGCACTGTTAGAAGATATGGTAATGTTATGGAGAATTTGTATAAAGAAAAGTTACACGGTGGTATGTTCTATCCGTATAATTTATAAGACATATATGTATGAAACGTAACCAGATGCGCATAAAAAGTTAAATATATGACCAACAGCGAACCAATGGCGCGAGCTAATAGACAGATACATACCACAAACTTTAGTTTAATTTCGAAATAATTAATCATAGCGCGACTCTCAACGTGTCAAACAGGTAAACCCAATTCCTTAATGTTTACATACATTGAGAAAAAGATTTCTTCGAATTTAATAAATCTTATGGCATCCAAGCAAATTTCATCATTGATACGCTCTAAGGAAATTAATGTTTCGATTAATAAGTACGATTGTCAGACTTTTCAACGAATACGTATCTTTATCTTAAATAAAACATTTGTCTGAAACGAAAGACAATTTTCTCATAGAAAGAAATTATTTGTTTCATTTGTCATCATTGTAACCAAATAATATTTTATCTAGTTGAAAGATATTATTTCACATAATACTGTTCTCTCCATTAAATAATAAAGTTCTCTTGAATGAGACGATAGAACTTTTACTCAAACGAATAATACTTCACGTAAGTATGTATTATTTCTGTGGAAATTTTAATCAAATAAATAGAAATACTAAATCTGAAGAAAAATCTTTTTCTCTGTGTACGTGCTACTTTTATTTTAGAAACTAAAGAATCTACTATTAGAAAATTTAACATATTTACTTTAGTAAAATTTAGTCTATTGTTTAATTATTCCCTAAGGAAACCTTAACTCTACTTTTGTCAGTTACAGAATTCTACGGGTTATATTTGCCACAAAATTCCTTCTGTGCATTGAGACATGGCGGTGTCACAATGCTTGCCACCTTCATGATTCTCATGGCAGCTGATGATATCAATAATCGAAATGCAGTCGAAGTAAACGTACAGCAAAACACTCAATATCTCGTTACGCAACGTACTTACCTGTTGAAGATGCGGGAATTCGGGGCCACTCAGGATCGCCGGATCGGCTTCGGCAGCGACGAAGACGTCCACCCTCAGCAGCGACGCGGCCCACAGGAAGCACAGAAGGTATTTCCGCCTCATCACGCCGGTTGATTCTCCCTCTCAGACTCTCTCGGGTTCTCTCGACAATTCACACCACCGGCGAAGCACCCGCTACCGTTATCCGTGTTTGTGAGAGAGTTTCACCACCATCCGAGTCCTTCCTTCGCTGTCGGTGTCGATGTTGATGAGTGTTGTACTTTCGGCACAGTCGACGACGAGCCAGTCGACGACTCTCGGAAAACGGAAACTCTCTCTCACCACCTCGATCTCGCTCGTAAAGTCGCGCCGGCTAATCGTTTTCCTTCGGTCTTGGCGATCTTATCGGTCGTCTCTGATCTCGCGACAGAGAGAGAGAGAGAGAAAAGAGAAGGAGAAGATGCTGCTCGCGTATTCCGGGATATATCAGGGTTGAGAGTTGTTTCCTCCTTCCGTCCGGGAAGAGGCGAGAGAGAGGAGGGCGAGCGAGGACACCACCAGCTGCCGGCTGCTCAACGAGATCGCACGTTCGACGACGACGAAGACGGGACTGTTGGTGATCGCAAAACGTCCGAGAGTTTTACTCCTCTCCGAAGGCGCGAGGGAAGAGTTCCTCCGCGGCGGTGGGAGATACAGCCAGGTAGGACGGTGAACGTCAACAAAGAAGGAACCCACTTCTTCCTCAGGTGTTTTCCCTACCCGCTTTCGTACGTGTATACGCGAGATACGCGCGCCGTGATATCGATCGGATGGCGATAAAAAGAGAGGGATCGCGCGCTCTCTCCTTCTCTTTCTCTTTCCTCCCACCCTCCGTTGCCTGCGCTCTCGCGCGCGATGACATAAACCGAGAGTCGGAAGGGATTGACAGGAATGAGACTGTCATAGTGCTTCCTAAAGCGGGGTCTACAATAAAAATTTAAGCTCTAAGCTTTAAACAATTCACTAATCACAGTTGATTATTCTTCTATAATTCGATTATGATTGATCAATTTTTTAGGGTTCAAAACATCTATTGTAAAGTAGGACTAAAGCGGGGTCTACAATGAGAATTTAAGGCGTGAGACTTAAGAAATTAACCAATCACAGTCGAATTGTAGTAGAAAAATCAATTACGATCGCTCATTTTCTGAAATCTTACGTCTTAAATTCTTATTGTAGACCCCGTTTTAAGCTTAAGGTCGGCACTTTCAAATCGCCGTATATATAGAGCGGGGGGAAAATGTAAATTCGAGTTATAGAGTTATGGAACATTGCAAATGCAAAGGCACCGAATTAATTTGTACCTGATATATTATTAAAATTAAAGTTGAACCCTATTTTGTTAACTATCTTAGCTCCTGCTATGTATCGTAAAGCTGAAAGTTTAATAAAGGACCAGAATTTTAACTCGGGCGCAAGATTAATCTAGGCAAGAATCCAAGTTAAATTGTCGTCTGTGTGAATTATTTGTAAAAAATTCTGTCCGAAATCTCAGGTAATTACAAATCACACCTGTAACGCAAACGCGATGACGATCGTTCGCAAGCGCGCGGGGCGCACGGAGAAAACAAATGTTGCTAAAACAACAAATGTTTGTCAATATATTGACAGCAGAAAAAATGTGTTCAGACAGCAAAAGATTTGTTTGGACAGCAGAAAGATCTGTTAAGAATGTTAATTGCTATTTGCTAGATATATGGACAATTAATATTCTTAACAAATCTTTCGGCTGTCCAACAAAAAATGGTTTGCTGTCTAAACAAATTTTCTTTTGCTCTTACTATATTGACAAACATTTGCTGTTCTAGCAAAATCCGTTTTCTCCGTGCGAGATCTTATCTCACGCACGTAAGATTACGCGTAATTATCGAGGGAGCAAAAATATTACTTGATTTAAGAGGGTTAAAAAACAGGTAATCATGTTTACCTGATTCTAATAGTTTTTTTCTCCGTATTTACTGAAAAAATATTTTCTACTTTCTAGATATTTTTTCTCCCTTACGTACGCTCCGTACAGTTTAACGAATTACGCGTTCGGACTTGCGGAAACAGCGAGGATCGTTCGCAAGAAACGAGACCGCTGCTGGACGAGACGACGACGGCTGTGGAGATAAATAAGAGAAACCCCGCGGAACGCACGCGGGTGGACGCGATTACTCAACATTTCAGAGATCGAAATCGAGTAGGGGACTGCTCGAGCGGGCCCGTCGGTCCATTACAGTTCCGTCTCCGGGTCCGTTCCGCGGAACGAGCAAATGCGCGACGTAGCGTTTTATCGCCGCCTTTTTCGCGCACTCGCGCTTCCGATAGTGTTCGCGAACGAGTATCGAGATTCCGCGGCTCGGATCGCGGATCGCGGTCGCTCGCTGTTAACACTCAGACTATCCGGCTTGTTATTTCGTGAAAATCCACGGGATACTTTCGGGATACTTGTACTTTCTTTCTGTGTACCTACCGAAAAAAATATTTTTTGCTTTCTAGATATTTTTTCTCTCAGCACTTTCTCCCCCTCCCATCTCTGTTTCGTTCTCTTCTCTCTCGACCCTGGCGCGAATTTGCCAATCCGAAAGGTTATCCTCCTCCTCACACAGGGAAGAGATTACGGTTCCGTCGCTGCATTACGATGGCGAGACCTGTTGCGCGGATTTGCATAAGAGCTTTCACGCAAAAGATTGAGGCGCGCACAGAGCGGCCGAGTTGGCGATGCGGCGCGCGATCGTGTTTTGCCAAAGCATAGAAAACGGGAGAAATCGCGAAATGGATTAGGACGCTCGCCAGAACCGGAGGAATGACTATCCTGGACTTTACACAACGCTCGATTAATACGGCTTAATGCTTACCTGTCACGACTACCATTGATTGTCGGGCGTCCTCAAACTTGAATTCGAGCGGACGTTCGACGTCTATACGAGTATTAAGGTGCGCATATACTTAGCTAACGAACAACGGACAGCGAACGCGTAATGTATTCGTGTCTAAATGCTCATTTTCTTTAAAAACATCTGATAAGCCACCTTACCCACACAGCAAAATATTAGGTATGCAAATTAATTCGGTGCCTTTTTTCACGAAATTCAAAGTTTATTTACAAAAAGTCAAATACAAGTTTAATGTTCGAAATAATTTCCATTATTTTCTATGATTTTACTCCATCTATTGGACGGCTGATGAATACCCTCGCGGAAAAAATTTGTCGCTTTTGACTCGATAAAGTGATCAATGCTTCCTCGGACCTCGTCAACCGTTTTAAAATGCGTATCTGCCAAATGATGTTGAAGCGACCGAAATAAGTGGTAATCCGACGGGGCTGGATCTGGCGAATAAGCCGTATGAGAGAGAATATATTTATGTGTTATGTATATATGTTCGTTTCATGTTCATTTCAATATATATAATCATTAAATGATCATATAATAATATCTCTCCTTTTCTTTTGACTTGTCAGATATAGGAAAGCGAGATAATTATGTCGCAGTAACGCACGTAATTAGCAAATATTTCAGTAAGTTGTGTTATCGCGGATTATTATTTCTCTTTTTTTTTCTAGAAACGCTCGATCGATCGTTTCCGGAACTTCCGGTTAAAAGAGGCAATAGACCGACACGAAGGCATGCAGAAGTAGATTCGCGCGAAAGTACACAGTGGACACCGTTCACCGGTACGTGATTATGGCACTAAATCGATACAGTGTACGACGAACATAATCGAGGAAATTGTTGTGGTTACATCGCAAGAAACGTGAGCATTATCCACTTATCGTCGACACATCGTATTCCTTGTTACACTTTCCTTTATGTTACTTTTGCCATCGATAACGTCCGTAATATATGTGCAAAATATCGTTACGTTACGTAACTTACAAATTGAACTTCGTATTTTCGTGCTATTTCACTTAACTAACTGTATTTTTATCCCGCACACACACACATATATATAAGGTGTTTCATTTTAATCCAACGATTCGAAAAGAATAAATCAACTGAGGCGATTTTATTATATATTGTTATTAACTTTTTTTAAAATTATATATTATTATTAATAATTATTATTATTATATTAACTAATTTTCCACCCTATTTGTTATGAATACTTTTTCGAATATTTATTGTTGCCAAAGGCGTCCAAAATAAAGAAAACCAGATTTTGAGTAATTGTTTGTTTCATGGTAATATTACTTGTACCATATTCGGTGAATTATATATATTTGCCCCGTATTGCTTCTCCAAGGCATTGCATATATATATATATAAATACATTTATAATAACCATATATATGGCAAGAATGTTTTATAATCCGCTTTTCAAAGTATCAACTACCACATCAATCATCTTGGTAATATTAGTTTAGAGTGTAATTTTCCTTTATTTTATCCGCGTATTTTTCTT